CGGTTATGGTGGTCCAGAAAAACACCTAAGGTCGAGGCATCCCGTGGAGTACGCCAAATACGTGGCGAAAAAGAAGGGACGACAAGAAGTGTAAACCCAAATTTCTCGGTTTGCTAACAGGGGTAAGGGTGGCTTTTTTGCTTATAGCGACGAGCAAATTAAAATAAGCAAAAAATGACCGAAATGATTTGTGAAGAAAATTTGCCATACATGTTTTCAGAAAAACTTAGATTTATTGATTATTGTCAACAGGCATTAAACCCTCAAGCAAGAGGTTTCTCAAGGAAAACAATTAAGCGAGAAATTATTCGACAGTATAAAGTTGAAAAAATCAATTTGGTAAATTTTTTTCTCAATTTAAATTCTCGTGTTACTATTTGTTCTGATATTTGGGGTGAAAAATATCATAATTTGTCTTATATGGGTATTACTTGTCATTGGATAGATAGTTATTGGATAATGCATAAACGTGTTCTTGCATTTCGTGATTTCAATGATTCTCATAGTGCTGAAAATATTTTTCTATTGTTTCAGCGTATTCTGTTGGAATACAACTTAGTTGATAAGTGTTTGCATTTGGTTTTGATAATGCTACTAATAATACTGTTGTTATTCCTAGACTTAAAGAAATTTGCCCCCTACTACGAGTATGGGTAGATTTCTGCATCAACGATGTACATGTCATGTTTTAAATTTATGTGTCTAACATGGATTAAAAGCTATGGGGGTTTTGACGAATATTAAAAATGGAATTAGAAGGATTTGAGGTAGTCGTCTTCATTCGAATTCCTGGAAGACATTCTTTAAGTCTAAGGGTAGAAGAGACATAATATTTGCCAAAGATATCAACATTAGATGGAATTGTACATACAAGTTGATAGCACAGATTCTAAGCTACAAAGAGGAACTTGCTGAATATTTTAGGGATGAACTACTTTTAATGATTTCACCTATTGAATTTGTTATTGTTGGAAAATTGAATGTCATATTAGAAGTTTTTAATAACGCAACTCTTACTTTTTCGCATGTTTACCAACCAACTACAAATACATTTTTTAAAGAGTGCGTTACAATGCAACATGTTTTCGTGAAAGTTTGGCTGATCCAGATTTGTACCCTTATGTCTCTCCTATGAAAGATAAATGGTGTGCTTATTATTTGTACATTCCTGATATTTATAAAATAGATATTATTTGTGATCCACGCTTTAAGATTGAAAATTATAAAATTCTAATTGACTATTACTACAGTTGTTTTTTAGATGAAAATAATTATTACTACGCCATTTAATAGAATGCAAAAATAAAAGAGATAATGCTATTACTCTTTTTGAGGCTTTATTTAAGGAATTTCAAGGGATATACGCGTACGGTAATGTACCGGAAGAAACAACACCTCCTTCGCCACCCAAATCAAAAAAAAAGTTTTAAAGGAATAGTCGGTGGGCTTCTTGCAAAGAAAGGGAAGCGTGCTCAGCCTTCGACGAGTTCAGGTGGTACAAATGTAAGCTCACACAAGAAACTTGCTATGTACCAAGGGGTGCCATGCGATTACGACGAAGACGAAGACGTGGAGTTTGACGTCCTCGGATGGTGGAAGCAGAACGAACACATTCTAACCGACTTTCAAGTTGTCTTGGCGCTAAATCTCTTGAAACACTTGTTTGCACCCGAGATTGGCTCTTGGCAAGACATCGAGCTCAAGAGTCTGGATACAATTTGAATTTTGATCATTACATGAATGCAACCACAGATGGAAGCCCGAGTTTTTAGGAATAAATTATAAACTTTGTTTTATGTTAAGGTAGATATGTAATTAGTTTTTTTAGGTGGGCGATATATAAGCTATTTCGAAGGTTTCTTTACAGTACTTTACCTCGTCGCTTTTTTTGAACCGTCAGGATATTAAATGTAGTTGTTCTTCAGTTCGTGTATTACTCATTTTACAATATATAAATAACATCTACATTTTTAGATTTTTTTATTTCATTCTTTCCTTTAACAATTGCACATTTACAACTTTACACTTTAAAAATTTAAAAAAAAAGCAAAAAAAGATAATAATTGGGGGGTGGTACCAGAACCGGCGGTTCCAGAACCGGAACCGTTCTAGAACCGTACTGTGTCCACCCCTAGTCCCGATATCCATGATTTCCTTTTTGAAATGTCCTAACGTAATCTTTCTGTTTTTTTGGAAAGGTTTTTGTGACTCACATTTTTTTTCTCTCCTTTGCATCAGTCTCTACCATACAATTTTACTTTTTTTTAAAATTCGTGCAAAGTCAAATTAGAAATATTAATTTGGAACGGAATGAGTATATCAATCCAAAATAGATAGAGTATATTGCAATGACCTTGTTTAGATGTATTAGTGATTTTAATTTAAAAAAATGTTTTGGTGAAAGCCAAAAAAAATTAAGAAGAGTCTTACAAGGGTGGGGAGTAATATTATTTCAACGAATAATGTAAGAGGAAATTTAAAATTCTACTCCCTCGGTCCTACATAATCTTTCTCCTTTTTTTTCATTCGTTCCAAAAAATTTCTAATTTATATTAAAAAAATTACTTTTACTCCTAATTCTTAACTTAGTTATCACATCACACTTTTTTACTATTAATCTACCAATCACATTTACTCTTATCCATCACGTCCACGGCATTTTTGAAAAGTCAACACCAAAATACATTCTCTTTAAATTTTTTAAAAGTCAAAACCATAAAGGTTTTGTGGGACGAGGAGAGTATATTTCTTTTGTTTTTATTAACATGGTTTCCTATCGAGAAATCACCCTAAACATTACTATAGTTTTTGGTAATGTGGTGGTAATGTGGTATTGTACACGTACACATTACTATATTTTTTGGTAATATACATGACCATGTTTAGTAATGTAATTCCTATTTCGGAAAAAAAAATATGAAAGTCCTATTTTGATACTTCTTCCGTCCACAAATAAACTTTACATTACGCGTTACGATGTTTGACTGAAGTTATTTTCAAATCATTTTATATGAAAAATGGTGTAGAATTGTAAAATGAAAATTACATATTAAAAAACTATATCAAAAGATCTACAAAACTAGAGGTGACATTACTATATTATTTTATCAAATGGGTGACGAAAATAGGCCAACAAAGTAAATAAAGTTTGACCCTGTGAATAGTGAACGTAAAGTTTATTTGTGGACAGAGTGAGTATATTTTAAAATTTTATTCCTACTTTTGTCTTTTTCCCTTTTCTATCAAATTCTTCACTTTTTTAGCTTTGGATTGATGAAATAAAGAAAATAGATTTCTAAACTCTATCTTTTTTTTAATTAATGAAGTGACAATTAGTCAATCAATACAACTTTCTACTTTGAGATGTGGCCGTCTTTGAAAATAGTTTCTCTACTTTCAAATAAGGAAAAAGTTTGCGTATATACAGTTATACACCCTCTCCAGACCTACTCTTGTAGGATTCAACTGAGTTATCGTTTGCTTAACACGGGAGATCAGGTGAGGGAAGTTTTCTAGTAGATCATAGTTCTATTTTGAACTTTTTTGAATGATTTTTTTTTACTTTTTAACAATTGCAATTATTTAAATAAATACTCTTTCTCCTTTTTTTATTTGTCCCAAAAAACACTTCTCATTTGTATTAAAAAAGTCACTTTTACCCCTTACTTTTTCATACTCTACCTATCACATCATACCTTTTTAATAATTAGCTATCCATCAAATCATACTTTTACCCATCACATCAAAGAACATTTTTGGAAATTTAATACCAAAATACACTACCCTTAAATCTCTTTTCAAAATCAAAACTCCCATGTTTTCCGGAACAGAGGGAGTAATACAATCTTCTATGAACCTAGGGTCCAATATTCATTTCATAAATTTAATGTATTTGTAGTGTAATAGAAGCATGCCTTTTATAAATTAAAAAATATTCTTATATGAGCACATGAATAATACTCCCTCCGTCCTAAAAACATGAGGTGTGATTTTTAAAAGATTTAAGAAAAATATATTTTAATTAATATTTAGTTTCCAAAAATGTTTTTTAACGTAATGAGTAAAAATAATATTTGATAAATAAATTAATAGTAAATAAATGTAATAAGTACGTTAAAAATTAATAGAGGTAAAATTTATTTTTTAATAAAAATTAAAAAAAAATTGTATCAAATGAAATAAGGAAGAAAGAAAAATTTTCAAGAACGGAAAAAGTAAAAAAAAAATGTACATTATAAATGTAGACATTAGAACCATGTTAATATCACTCAAATGACAATAAACGTGTAAAGAAAAAGAATACAAATTGAAAGCGAAATGAGGAATACAATTCAAAGAGTTGATTTTACCTTGACATATTTTGTATATTATTCGTTCAAATGTTAAGCATTGACACCAAAATGTGTGGTCATATATATATATATATATATATATATATATATATATATATATATATATATATATATATATATATATATATATATATATAAGAGCCCTAATGCATGATTTTTAAAAGAAAACTTGGAATACACAAGAGTAATATTTTGGCAAAAGAAAAACAAAGCAAGGCAATAACCTAATTNTGAGGAATACAATTCAAAGAGTTGATTTTACCTTGACATATTTTGTATATTATTCGTTCAAATGTTAAGCATTGACACCAAAATGTGTGGTCATATATATATATATATATATATATATATATATATATATATATATATATATATATATATATATATATATATATATATATATAAGAGCCCTAATGCATGATTTTTAAAAGAAAACTTGGAATACACAAGAGTAATATTTTGGCAAAAGAAAAACAAAGCAAGGCAATAACCTAATTGAAAATTTTGGTTAAGGAGTAATATATAGAGAAACTAGGAAGGCAGTAGTGGGCTCCAGTTCAGCATGACTTAGGGTTCATCCATGGCGGTTCGAACCAAGGGAACACTCTAAAAAAGGCTAATATCACAACATACTTTAAAGAAAAGAGAAGAACAACAATTCAGACAAAGACCCGCCAAGCCCATGTTTCCATTTCACCCTGGATGTCCAACCAACCCAGGTTGACACTAAAACACGGGCCATGGCAATGGCCGCTCTAGCTAACAAGGCAATTACTAGTAGAAAGAGTACTCTAAACTAGCTAAAAACACACAGATTCCATTCCTTATATAGCAGCCAACGGACGGCCCATCAGGTTGCCCACCGTCTGTGGCTCCGAACTTCCCGGCATGCCATTTCGGGGCGGCGAGAATGCCACCGGCAGATAATCCGCCGTGCCGCAGATAAAGTTGGATTTCTCAAAATGCTTCACCAGCTCAGCCTTTCCCTGCAACTCATTCATTATCCAAACACCACACATAACATTAATGGCTGGAATTAATCCAAATACAGCCCAAAGGAAGAATTAAATTAATTAACTTATTAACCTGGATTCGTGCCCATGTGATTTCACAGATCTTTCTGGAATTGAAGGTGCCAGACCCAATCTTCACTTCACCCCACTGGTAAAACCTCAGAAGCTCACGTATCTTGGCAGCACCCGCGGCCGTTGTGAAGTTCACAAAGGCATAGCCAACATTGTTGTTGGTTCTACATTGATTGATTAATGTCGCCACAGACACACAAATCAGAGACCCAAGAACATAACAAAGTCAAACAAAAGGAAACATGTGAATAGAGACGCACCTGAAGTCCATTGGCAGGTACAGAAAGTCATAGGAGAGGTGGCTCTCGGCGCAGTGCTTGTCGATGAAGGCCATGAAACTGTCCCGCCTGAGCAATGAATAAAAACCAAAAAGGCTTTCAATTTGTGGGTTTATCTATTTCATCATTACATTATGAATGAATATGAATATATGGAGGGCTCAGTAAATTAAACATGAGCAATAATAAATGATATGCGGCCAAAATATTAAAATAAAATAAATGCACATTTAACACATTAAATATATATGGAGAACATGACAAAACTTATTTACTTCTGATGCTTTGGAATAGGGACAGACAGTGAAGAGAAAGTGCAATGACTTCCCTTTTTTGTGCCTTTTCAAAGGCTACACAACAAAAAGGACTGAAATGGACTTCCACACATGGGAATGGGAATGACCCTTGGACTAATTTAATTTATTACCTTATACTATGTGCTTCAGTACTTTGCACAGGAATGGATTGTTTTTAGGGAAGAAAAATGTATGGTACAAAAGAAATAAAATATGTTGCTGATTATAATATTTTTCAATTGGATCTGAAATGAAAACCCCATTTTAATGATGGGATCTACTGTGTATATGTTGCTGAAAATAAACAAGAAAGAAAGGTTGAATAGGAGTACCGGTATTGGTTGGGGACGTTCTTGATCATCACTGTAGTCTTCCCCGTCGCCGGAGACAGCGATTCATCGACGACGACGCCGCCGGTGGCCTTGCCGGAGGCCTTGACGGGTCTCCAAATCTTGGGTTCAACCTTCCCACTAATGTCTAGATTTCTCAGCTTCTCCTGCAACCTCGGCGGCAAGACAAAGGCCTTGAGGTTCTTTTTCTTCTTCGAGCATGCCCGCGCCGCCTCTTTACGGACGGCCACGACGCCGCCGGTGAAATACCCGAAGCAGGGAGTGCGTTGGATGACCCCGACGGTGCGCGGGGTGCAGAAACCGTGCGCGGTCCTCGCCGCCGCATGCGGCGGACATCCGAGATGCCGATGGAGGATGTTCGGCATGTATGGTCGGGAGGTGACAGGGAAATATTCCTTGGCAGCGGGGTTCAATTTCGACATTGTTGTACGGAAGCGAAGGAAAAGCGAGAGAGAAAGTTTAGGAAGACACTTGGGACAAGATATTGGAGAGGACTAAAGAGTAATCCGTAGCTCAGTATCGGTTCCCTTCTCCATTGACACAGCAGAGAAATAGAAAAGGAACGAATAGAATGGGTCCCACACTGGTGCCCAAAAAAGAGGGCGTTCTTGGGATTTCTTACTTCTATACTTGGTAAAAAATGACTCGGCCTATTTTTGACCCGAAACTCGATCCGAAAACACTGGGTTTTGAACTAAGATTTTGATGAACGAACCTAAAGTTGACCGAACCTGAAATGACCCGCTTAAAATGGGTCAAACCCGACTGAACCCGAATCCGACCTGACCGACCCGCTAAAGTAAGAATTTTTTAAAATCATACACTTTAGTACTCGTTTTTAGTGTATAAATTTATATTCTTTAGATAAAATTTTAATGATATTACATGATTATCTTACCTTTTTCCAAAATTTAAGCATTTTTTAAATTCCTTATGTTGATTTATATATCTAAAAATTATTTCAAAATTTAAAATAAAATAATCTAAAAGATTTAATACTTTTTTTGATATTTTAAATTTATTAAATAGAAAATGTAAGTGTTAATGTAAATTTAAAAATTTTAAAGACCAAAGTCATAACCCGTTGGGTCAACCCGAACCCGATGACACTTGGTCATGAACATACAGTTCTCAACCCGAACCCGAATTGACCCCAACCCGAAGTAACCCGAACTCGAAGTGACCGAACCCGAACCTGACCTGACCGACCGATTTGCCAACTCTACTTACTTCTATGTCCGGCCTAATCCCAAATTTTCAATTACTATATTAGAGTAGTGGAAATACCACACACGCCCACCAGCGTTAAGCTAGTTTTGACGCATGAGAGGCGTTAAACATTGTCTTCCTTTCTAGTTATGGCACCATCATTTTTGCAGCGTAAAACTTTTGACGTAATTGCAGACCAAAATTCGGCCGTTGGAGCCCCCCACACCACCTCCTTTCCAGTTATCACACCGTGTACCTTTTGTATTCAGTGGATGTAATTTTTTTATCAATGAATGTATTTTTTATTTAATGAATTTAATTTTTTATTTAATGAATGTAATTTTTTTTATTTAATCAATCTAATTTTTTTAAATAAATGAATGTAATTTTTTTAATTAATGAATGTATATGTTGTTCATTAATGTACTATTTAATGAATAAAATTAAATAATTAAATTTTATTATTTTAATTTTAGAAGATATGTACTTAAAATGTAGAAAATGAATGTTTGAAGCTCCGGTTTGAAGTCCCAGGGCTTCAAACCTATTTCCAGTGAATTAGTGAGGTAAGTTAACACTGACGTAGTAGAGAAACGAAGTTTGAAACCCTGGAGCTTCAAGACCATTTCCGGTGCTCTTACACGGGAGGAAGAAATTTGGGAACCCACACACTCGTCCTATATATGGGGCAGAAAGATTTTTTTTGTTCTCAGATTTCTCATCAAAAAAATGTAACGCATAAGATCTATATCCTTGAGAGAAATATATATCAAAAAAATTAATTTTAATTTCATAGGTTTGGCTATATAAATGATAAGAATATTTTTTGAAGATAGATATTTTCAACTAAGAAAAGGAGAAATTGATTTTAGTTTGCTTTGGACGAAAATTTATTTTCTTACTCACTCCTCGATTCTTCTAGTTTCATGAACAACC